CGCCCCAGCCGCCTGCGTTCTTCTCCCCCCGCAGCTGCGAGGTGGGGACGGACAACTGGGTGCAGTGCAACGACGCCCCCGTGAAAATCTGCAAGTACCCGGTGACCGGGCTCTGCGAAGGCCGCTCCTACCAGTTCCGCGTGCGGGCGGTCAACAGCGCCGGCGTCAGCAGGCCGTCCCGGGCCTCGGAGGCGGTGGCCGCCCTGGACCCCGCGGACCTCGGAAGGCCGCAAGGTGGGTGGCGGCTGGGCAGGGGCTCCGGGGTGCTGCCCACCCTGCCCAGCCCGCCCCTGCGGCGCCGCCCGGCCCAGCGGGGGTCCCCTCAGCCCCCGCAGAGCCTCCCCCCGCCTGCGCTGGAGACCAGCCGGTCACCTCCCCAGGCCGCTGTGCTGCCCCGGGCACCGCTCAGCCTGGCTCACGGGGGCTGGCCTGAGGGCAGCAGGCCAGGGCGGTGAGGCCGCTGGCCCCGGACTTTCAGCCTCACCTTGCGGCGGCCGCCAGCCTTCCCCACCAGCCGCCCGCTTCGTCCAGGCGGGAGGCCCAGGCCACCAGGCCGGCTCCTTCGGCTCTGGCGCTGCCTCAGCGCGGCCTTCTCTCCGCAGCGGCCTGCCTGGAGGGGGACAAAGACGTCAGCTATCAGGACGAGCTGGAGGGTAAGGGGTGATCGCTGGCGTCACTGCCCACACCTGGGGCTCCTGGTTGGGGGGGTGAGTGGGGGAGGGGCAGGGAGGGGCCGCCGCTGCCGCTCCCCGGGGCGCCGGAGCCTGGTGCTCCCCGAGGGACAGTGCGGCTGCCCGCAGGCGGCCTCGGGCGCCCTCTGCAGGAGGCTGCGCCGGCCGGAGCCGGAACATGGAGCCCGGCTGCAGGGAGGGCGGCCAGGCAGGAGGTGGGGACGGGCTGGGCGGCGCCTCCGCCCTCTGCCCGGGGGGCCCCCGTCTGGCTAGGGGCCCCATTCCCCGCGAGCCCCCTCGAACGGGCTCCTGGCGCCAGCTGTGGCCCTGGACAGTGCTCGGGCACAGCCCCGCGAGTCGGTGGCTGCGGACTCTCCTGGGGCTCCCCTGGGCTCCCCACTCTGTTGCTTCGCAGGCGACGTCCAGATCCCAGGCCCCCCCACCAACGTGCACGCCTCGGAGACCAGCCAAACCTACGTGGTCCTGAGCTGGGAGCCCCCGGCCCGCCGGGGCAAGGAGTCGTTGACGTATTTCATCGAGAAGGTGGCCTCGCCTCGCTGAGCCCCGGGGTCTCCCTGCTCTAGGGGGTGGCGGTGCCGCGACCTCACCAGACCTCACCCACCCCCCGGGTTCTGGGGCAGCTCTCCGGCCACCACCTGGACCTCCTCCCTCCCTGCGTTCCCGCTGCTCTAAGGGGCGCTGGCTGAGTGGAGGGGCGGAGCGGTCTCCCAGGGAGGCGGGCGCTGGGAAGCGTGTCCAGCCCCCTGCGGCCATCCAGCCGCACCCCGTCTCTGGTCCCAGAAACTCAGGGGGCGTTGGAGCTGAGGTCATCCCTGTGGGACACTCTGGCTCACAGGCAGGATGTCCCCGGGCCCCGAATCCTGCTGCGCGCTCAGCTCTGTGGTCACTGCTGGGGCCGGCCTCGGAGAGGGCCGCTGGCCACACCGACACCTGGCCAGAGACAAGTGGGTGGTGTATGTGGTCCTGTGTGTGCTCACACCCAGGCGCACAGAGGCGCACTGACACTCAGACACACGCACAGATGCTTAGACGCACACGCACGCCCAGGCTCACCCCCGCGGACGCCAGACTCACCCCCACAGACGCACACCCAGACGCAGACGCACGCCCAGACTCACCCCCACAGACGCACACCCAGACGCAGACGCACGCCCAGGCTCACCCCCGCGGACGCCAGACTCACCCCCACAGACGCACGCCCAGGCTCACCCCTGCAGACGCCAGACTCACCCCCACAGACGCACACCCAGACGCAGAC